CACTGTTACACTCAGACCCCCTCCCTGACCCCCTCACACTAAATGATCGAGATGACGCGAGCGCAACGCGACTCTAACAAGACTCATGATTTTATTCCGACATTGGAAATTTGCGACTGAAATCGCTTGAAAAGTCGTTTGGTGTGAGGCGGCATTAAACACACTGGTAACCACTGAATGTAACAGGTTCCTGTACTGTAACTTTTAGAGGCATCAAATGCTTCAGATGCCCCATCACCACAGCTGTGAACCACTCAGGCTCGATAAATTTTTTTGCAATGTAACATTTTATATTAAAACTGTCTGTACATTTGTTTACATCTTAAGGATTTAATTATGCAGTAAACTTGACCTGTGACAAAGTTTGTGATAATCAGACTGTGTCACCCAAACAAACCATACGAACCATCCATAGTGGTTCTTCAAGTTTGTTTGGTTGGAAACCAAAGTGTTGCCAAACTGCCGTGTTGGCTCTTCTTCTCCTCCTTCTTGATAAATTTGTATGTATTTACCAGAGAGTAGATCTCATTTACATCTCATAGAAACATATTCTTTGTTTCGTTGTCCTCTGGGTTCTTTGCCAGATTTAAAATCTACATTCTAATCGGACATTGGGAAGACATTCTGAATCAGGAGATCTCATTTGTGGAAAAGACTGTATTCAGTAGCTGTGGTAAAATCACTGCAACGCACAGCCACAAGCAGATTATTACATTTATAATATGGCCACGAAATTTAAATGAACTTCATGCAGATATTAAAGTACACACCTAAAGAGGCCAAAGAGTCTGATTAGCTGTCGATACTTAGGAGTTTCAACTGACCACAGACACAGTTCAAGCTCAAATGAACACACAGTACTCACTGTCCTGTAAAGGTGCTATGCTGTGTTCCACTGACGCCCGAAAGTCTTAATTTCCCAGAAATTAACACTGTATGTTACTGTAATGCAGCATTTGGCATTATTTGGACTGATTCTAATGTAATTAGATAGTACATGTGGTTTAGCAGTAGTTTAGCTGCACATCAGGTAGGCATCTGCCGGTTTTGACAGAGCAGCCACTGTAACTTTCATGCACAGCTGTATGCAAAATTTTACTGTGGCCCCCAGTAGTACTTGGACATATTAACCACTTAACCAATAGTGAACTCCAATGTCTTTAGTTTTCTTCTTAAAATGTTCACAATTCTAACCAGACTGCACTAAGAGTAGTGTAAAACACAGAGGTGGACACATGAAAGGCTGTTTTTCTTACACTGGTGTCAGTGAGCTGGTTTTCACTGAAGAGATCTCAGAAATGTACAAAGGCATTCTGCATGCAAACTTGCAGAAGTAAGTAAAGAAATGACAATGTGAAAAACACCAGTAAGCTTTTAAAAGAGTACTTTGCCAAAAAGAAAAGTATAGTGCTTGTTACTTGGTGTGACATTTTGTTTCCTAATAAAATGAACTTTATACTTATACGGCACAGATGTCCAAATACATTTTGGGGCCACTGTACATTCCCTCTTATACATTCTCAATGAGACCCACTTGCCTAATTAAGTCAGCCGGCCTCACTAATGCCGGGCTCACACTACAGGACTTTAAAAAGCCTAATCGATGTTGAAAACATGAGACTCCACATAATGACCATTTTTATCGATTTTTTGTCTTTGATCGTTGTTCAAAGTTCCCACATTATATAAAACTGCCCTGAATGAAATGCCACGCACATTCAGATGTGTGTGAACAAGATTCACAGGAACAAGAGTCCCGATAAACGTTTGATTCCCAAAACCTCACAGGAGTTTCTCACAAACTGCCACATCAGGGAATTTCTCACAAAATAACATGGTTTTCAATCTAAACAAACATGGCGGATGGCAGCAAGGCTATTGCTATGCTGGTGGTGAGCGCCTCCTCTGCAGAAAAAGCATTAAGCTTAGCTCTCATTGGCTGATTGTCGTTCAGGCATGACGTCAACATCGCATTTCACATGTCCACCCCACACTACCGGATATGGAGTCGTAAATACTGAACAGGTTTAAGATTTACGATTCGTAATCGAACGGCCCCTCCTGGACTGGGATTAGTTTGGAGGCATAAAGATTGGATTACAGATACCCCACAGCACTGGAAAATCTGGGAAGATCACTGTTTAACTGAGACCTTTTGAAATTGTCAAGAGGAGCCTATTATTCTATAGTGTGGCCCTGGCATAAACACACAAGATCTGCTCAGTGAACCGGACACCAACATTTCTGCTCATTTATGCTTAAGTACAATCCATTGGATAGGCTCTGCACCTTTAGTGCAACAGCATCTACTAGACTGCCAGCTACAGAGAAAACCCTAACCCACACTGACCCTGATCATCCTGGTCAAGCAATGATCCTAATACAAGCGGCTGTCCACTCTACAGCAATAACACAATACCTTTGCTTATTATTATTATGTTAGCTGCCACCCCAACATCAAGACTCACAGTATTTTCCATGCAGTTTTACTTCACAAGCAACACAATGAGGCACAAAAGACGTTTCTTTCTCCACAGCGTCTGCAAAAATGACCATGCCGACTCATAATAGGAGTCTGCGTGACCTCGGTTTATGACCTCAGTCTATTTTCAGTGCAGGACTGAACTACCACAGGTTGTTTACTTTGCCAGGGAGACATCACACGCCCACACAGCTGTGAGCAGACAGGAGCTCCTCATTTTCTGGAAAATGTATCTACTGTAAAACTGTATTGATTTCTATATTTTTCCTTGAAGATAAGACTAGTAAACTCTAATTCCGCTGCAAATCTGTACTATTAAAAGAAAATCTAAAACATTTGTGAAACCATGTTGACAGGAGCTATAAAGTTATCACTCATATCACTAACACTAGCTGTCTGGCTCTGTCTGCATTAGCCAGCTAGAAAATGCATTTCAAACAGCACAACCTCAAAAATCCAACCCATTTTCATACACTTTCAAGATCTACAGTAGCTGCACTGTTTGAACTAACTAAGGATTTTCATTAAAACAGGCTGATACACTTCGCTCAGCAGCTGCTGGTGGTGCAGCTTTGGGGGGCGTCTGTAAAACACATGAAGGTTTAAGTGCAAAGAGGGAAAGAGTGCACGGAGCTTGCAGAACACACCAAAGAATTTCTGCTCATGCTCAAATATAATCCATCTGACAGGCTCTGCTCATTTAGTGCAACAACATCTACAAGCCTGCCAACTACAGAGAGAACCACTGGCCACACTGACCCTCATCATCCCTACATAAAAGAAGTGGTCACTGTTGTTGGAATGAAAGAGGATTCCTACAGGACGACTTGCTGTGTGCAGGTCCATCACAGTCATGAAATTCTAGATGACGTCTGTGATATTTAATTGTTCACCCTTAAGAATCCACCTGAAAGCACTTACTGATTTAAAACGTTCCCCCTACTTTCAACATACATCATCAGAAGGGGGCTTAGTCTAGTCTTCAAGCCAGAACACCTTAGTCTAGGTAGTACTGTGGTACCACTGTAGAAGGTGAGAGACCATGTTTACAACAGATGTGAATTTTTCAATTTGGCTTAAGTTTTAGACTTTTACTCAAGTGGTGTTTTAATAAACGACTTCAACTTTTACTTATGCAAATTTCTGACACAGTGTGTTTACTGTAATTTAGCCATGGCACTCTTTTCCACCGCTGTAGGGCCAAGTACAAAAAAAACAAAAGCACCCCGTGGTAAAGAGTGAAACGAGTAGCTTACAAAATGTGAAGCAAAGCATTATTATGCAAAAGTTAATGAGACGAGAAATAAAATCCCCCCTTTTCAATTTCGGCTAACGAAACGGTGTCATAGGCCTGATAGTCATCTTAGCTAGAAAAATCCAATAGAAAAACCTGTATGACTTGGTACTACACATAGAAAAAGAGCACAAAGGTAACCAGTATTCAGGCGCTGCTATGTGTATGTCATCTTTTACAGTTTATAATATACACAGATCAACATATGTATTCTTTTGAATAATACTGGCCACCTTTGCCTCCGTCTTTACGGTGAGGCATCTAAAACGTAGACCGGAGGCTAATAGAACTTTAAGGCCTGTATATCATACCCTAAAACTGATTAAACAATGTGTGAAGTGATTTCCAATTAATTTCCAATTTCAATTTTCAAGTAATTTACTACTTTATTACTATTATTATTAAGAAGTCCCAGCGATGGTGTTCGTATCAGCTGCAGTGTGTAATATGTAAACACACAGGAACAAGGCCGAAAACCCAACAGCATCCTGTGGTTAATACAGCAAAATCAAGCACAGACATCTCTGTGCCTCTGACTGAGCTTGGACTAGTTTAATGACATGAGGGCGAAAGCAAATCCAGTACAGAAGAAAAATCCCACTACCACGTTAAACAACACTGGGTCACCGCTGAATAACCATGTGATGTATTTATTACACACGGTGTTTCCTGAAAATGCTGGTAACAATTTCAGTGACGGGACAGGACCGTCTACTGCAGAGTCACAGGCCAGAAAGACCAGTTTACCACTCGCCCAGCAGGTTCGCTTAAAGCATCTGGGAAGATTTCTAAAATCTCTGAACTACTTCTGGCCAAACTTCGACAGAAGCATAAAACCCTGTCAGTGACTTCACTTAACTTAAACAGCTCGACTGGACATTTTGCCCCACACTGGCTTCTTGTCGGAATTTCCGTTCCACCTTAAATGTTGCAGCAGTTAGATTGCAGCGAGTAAAGCCACCACATTGTACCTGCTGCACCATTTAAGGTGGACCGGAACATTCTCCTAAGAAGCTGCCGGATAAGCAGCCAACTTCAGCTTCGTCACTGGTCTACAGTTAAAATGAATTCAAGTTGTGGTCAGTGTTATCTAACCCTACGATATGTAGAGAATCTAGAGCAGGAACTGTTTTTCATATTTCAAAAATAACAGTGAACAACCACAACTGAAGAAACTCGCAGCTACAGTTTAACACTGACCAGTGTTAAACAGCTGCTACTTACATCACACAGTCACGGTCATTATCGTTCAGGCGTAACTATCCTCTATCCGAGTCCGCTCCTATACCTGCGGCGAGGCGGCTGGTCTTTCGGTTACAGCGGAGAATTCAGGCTCTCCACCCCCCTTTAACTCCAACTACCTGTTGCTGTCAGACAAACAACATGGCTGCCTGCTCGGCCTGCCGTTCACGGGCCTTCGCGTTTGTCTCCACCCCTATTCCGACAAACCCCGCCCCCGTGTGTCGATTGCTCTGTGATTGGGCAGCAGGTTCACCCTCACACGCACGCGCAGTCAGAGCCACGCTCTGCCATAGATATATACATCGAGATGCCGCGTTGGATCCAGTCAGCCACGTCAACGGCGCCGCCATTTTAGCGCGGTCAACCTCGTCGCTGGACTGCATTCAGTACCGCAGTGATCCACGCTCATGTTTGTGTGCTGCGTATTGTCTGTGTGGTGTTTATGTAGATATGGCCGTGAGGTTCATGAGGCAAAGAGAACCTGTTGATGTGATTGTTTTTTCCTCTGGTTTTATTTTAAGCTTGTTTCATTTAATAGTCTATTTGGGGGATCTTAACTTTATGTAGTAGTTATTTATTTACAATGACCTTACACAAAGCTGAAGTCAGCTTCTTATTTGTCAGCTTCTTGTTCAAATTTCCACCTTAAATGATGCATCAGCCAGCATCTTGTTCAAAGTTTCCTGTTCCACCTTAAATGGTGCATCAGCCAGCATGTTGTTCGAATTTTCCTGTTCCACCTTAAATGGTGCAGCTTGAGGCAACAGAAAGTGGCTGCTGCACCATTTGAGGTGGAATGGGAAAAGTCGAAGAAGCTGGCGAATAGGAAGCCGACTTCAGCTCCGTCCTTCTTACTGTGTTTTGGGTGTTTGTTTTATTTTTTATGTGTATTAATATTAGAAGTGATTCACACATTGATGGATTTGCTGATGTGTCTGATTGTGTTTCTCGCGCTAAACTCGGTTTTTAACGTCAGGTACAGACTGAACACTTTTCTGGTGGTCCGGACGGCTAATTATCGCGATCAGTTATTAAAGTAATAGAAGCTACCGAGAGCAGATCCGTGCAGCCTGGATTAATCTGTGTCAGAGGATTATAACGAAACAGATTTGGTGAAAATCGGTTGAGTAATAAGGAAGTTGTGGCTGATTTAATCCTGAGACTCATCGCCTCTCAATACAAGTGAATCTGTTCACAAGCGGATCTTGACCTCTCCAACATGGCGGACGCGCAGACGTATCGCCTAAGCTAGAAAACAACAGGCAACGCAGCATCTCGGTATGGATCTCTATGTGCTCTGCGCTCAGCAGTTCACGGATCGCCCATGCGAGCATCTGCAACTGGCCAATCCTGACGGAGGAAGCGGGATTTGTCGTAATACGGGTGGGGAAAATACGCCTGCCCGACAGGCAGCAGCCTTAAAGCTGGGTGTTGCTGCCGCCTGCTGTCAGAGGAGCACCACTGCACTATTATTTGGGTATTTTCTAATAACCTGTGTGTTCATAGTGAAACGAAAACTTCACATACCCTTCCACTACTTATAGCAAAAAACTTTAAAATAGTAACTTTATAGGTGGGTTGCACCAACAGTAATTAAGTTTAAAATTAGGATTAAATAAAGGTTTTGGGATTAAATCTATTAATCATGTTGCACTAAACTTTAAAATAATCCAGGTTACATTCAAATAAGTATTTAATGATTTGAATGTTATCCTGGATTACTTTAACAGTAAAACTAGTAAAAAAAAAAGTAATCCTCTTGCACCGTTACTTAAAACTCAGATTTAATCTTCACTCATGGATTAAATTTAAACTTAAATTTAATGTTACAAAATGTGTTTTAAAAAATGGTTGTTCTCTACAGAACAGGAGGTCTCTCTCTCTCTCTCTCTCTCTCTCTCTCTCTCTCTCTGAGCAGAAAACATGTCAAGCACCTCAGAAAACTTCACTCACTTATGGTTAACTATTCAACCCTATTAGCACTCAAATAGCGTTTGTGCACCTTACTGAAATAGAGGAAAATAAGCACAGCAGCAGGATTGCACTAACATAGCTACATTTTACCATTACAAGATGCGTGTAAAGGAAGTAAACAGCTGAAAACTATCTTCATGTTATACAGTCTATGCTAAATATACTCCAGGTTTTGTTGACCTGTTTGATCTATGATAAACAATTTTGCAAGTAGCTAACAGGCTAAAAGTCTGCTAATAATACTCAGTAATAGGCCTTGGATATAAATAACTTAGATATTGAGCTTTTACTGTAAAACTGCTTCAGAATAACATACATTTGCATCTTGTATCTTTTGATTATTATAAGCTGTTTTCTCAGGTTTGGCTAAATGTTTAAATGACTAAATTTGCTCTTTGCCTATGAGAGCTGTTTGTGGTATAACAGGTCTATGCTAGTTTTCTCTCAAAATTAAAATATAAATAAACTTAGACAATGATTTGTGTCCTTGCTGCTTATTTAAACTGCTGAATTAATCACGGCAAATGAGCAAAATACTGGCAGGTTTTGGTTTTAATCGCGGATGTATGTGGGAATTTGTGTCCATGTTGGATGAGAAGGCCTGGCTCACAGTCGACCTTCAATTCATCCCCAAAGTGTTCAGTAGGGTTGAGGTCAAGGCTCTGTGCAGACCACTGGACTTCCTCCACACCAAACTCAAACAACACCTTTATGGACCTTGCACTGTGCATATTATGAAAATGTTTCAGAATTTTGTTTTGCTTTAAAAAAAAAATCACAAACTAAACTTTTTTCCAGTTTTCTTTTTGGAGGAATAATTTGCAATCACAACAAATTAATCAAACTCTGTAGGAATAACCAAAAGCTTCATAATAAAACAGTTTTATAAGCTGAAATAGAATTGTACTGTGGCTGAAATATTGTGATATCTTCATTGATATCTTATTAAAAATAAATCTATGTATATCTAACTTATACCCTGCGATTTCAAGCAATGTTCTCAACATGGATGGGTTCTGCCTAGAGCAAGAGACTGGACCTCCATTGAACTCTGAAGGTTGTGAATTGGTTGTCTAATGGTTTTCTGAAATGGTTGTCTAATGGTTTTCTAATGGTTGTCTGATGGTTTTTGAAGGTGTTCTAAAGGTTGTGTAATGGTTTCCTGAAGATTGTCCATTGGTTGTCTAATTTCTAAGTTGTCTAATGGTTTTCAAATGGTTGTCTGATGGTTTTTTTGGTGGTGTTCTAATGGTTTTCTGAAGGTTGTAAATTGGTTGTCTAATGGTTTACTGAAGCTGCTCTAATGGTTTCTAATGATTCTCTGAAGGTGTCACACCCACTGGCCGTTCCTTCATTCAGAGATCAGCTTCTCGGAATATTGAGAGCTGACTCCTCCCACACTCACGCACCTGCCTATGTTTGATTCTTCCAACTGGATCGCAAGGCAAAGAACAAAGAGGTGAAGAGAGGGATGCGCCACTAGACTGAGCAGGGCACCCTCAAGACCTGGCTTGGCCTATGTTTTTCACCTATTCATTCTCCTTTCCCACGACCCGCAAGTCAGAAACGAACAGGTGTCGTAGAGTAGATTAATGAATTTTAGGAATTTTAGGAACACATCATCAGTAGTGTACCCCAGAAGTCATCAGGTGTTTTCGCCTTAACACTATACACCCTCATCTGAGGCGGCCAGCCATAGGTTGATCAAGCCCAGGCTTGTGTCCCATGCCCAAATCAGTTATTTATTTTTAAAGTATTATATTGTATAAAAGCTAATGCAGTTTTTTTTTTTTTTTTTTTTTTTTTTTTTTATAGATAAATGCTGTTGTATTTTTAAGAATGCTATTTTTAGCCTTTTTTGCTTTTTACAAAGTTGGATTTTTTATTGTTAACTGTGGTGTGTGTGCTGATAGAAGACTGGGCGCTCATTTAAGATCTGTTTGCCCCAGACCACCTTCCCTGCGTGCTGTCCTAGTGGACCCAGAGAGGCTGAATACTTACCCCTTGCCCAACTGACCCTTCGTTAACACCGCTAGGTTGCCCAGGTCAGCCAGACAAGGTCTGAGAATTTGGGCCTATCCCAGTTAGTCTCCCCTAAGCGACGGGTAAAAACCAGGACCAGGAAACCGTGCCCCAACCACCCGTTGCCAGGTGGCTGACTCCAAGACCCGGGAAGGTAGGTCCCGTGCAATACGTCACCTCCCAGACAGTCTTGGCGGAGGTCCAAGCGGCGGATAGCTTTCCTTCGAATTCCCGGCCGGTGTTGGTCCACGCTGAAATATTTCCGGAAAATACCAAGCTTCTACCGCTTTGGATCCCCTATTTGGGGTTTGTACACCATGGCTGACTGTCCCCTCCACCGTTTAGGTGCAGGGATTCGTCAAGCTTCTACCAGAGGCGCTCACCCCATCTATCAGCGTTGTGGTTTTCTGGGGGATTTGGATCTTGGCTGTGGTAAAATCCATCGCGGTGAACTCTTGTATTTTTATGTTGTAGAATTGTTCTTCAGAGTACCAGCTTTTATTAGCAAAAAACCCCGTGTCCGTAAATGGCATCGTTTTGGAGTTATTAGCATTTGAAGATTTGGTTTTGTGACCATTTGCATATTGGGAAGACTCCCAGCATTCCTTGAGAATCTACCATCATCTAGACTTTTGTTCATTTTGGTGTGGTTCCTGGTTTTGTTGGCTTATTTGATATAATGGCTCCCTATGACAGGGAGTCACTCGCACCATTCTCCCCCAAGGGACGAATAGTGGGCTCCAAATTTGGGCTTGTAGTCCCAAGTTATAGTTTGGAGTCCACCCCTGGTTAAGGTGGGGGGGCCCCGTTGTTTGGCCCCCAACCACAGATTGGGTGGGGGGGGAGAGTTAGGGTAGAGGTTTGGTTTAGGCCCTAGGTTATCTTTGGGGGTTTTAGAGTTAGGGCTAGTGCTGTACTTAGGCTTAAGATCAGGTTCAGGCCCAAGGTAGACTTATGGTTGGGCTTGGGTTAGGGTTAGGCCAGAGGTTTGGTTTAGGCCCTAGGTTCTGTTTGGGGCCTTAGGGTTAGGGCCAATGCTATGCTTAGGCTTAAGGCCATAAGGTTAGGTTTAGGGCTAAGTATAGGGTTAAGGTTAGGTTTAGGGCTAAGGCTAGGGTTAGGTATTAGGGTTTAGGGTTAGGTTAGGGTTAGGGTTAGGGTTAGGGTTAGGTAGTTAAGGTTAGGTATTAGGGTAGGTTAGGGTTTAGGGTTAGGTAGGTTTAGGGCTAAGGTTAGGCTTGGGTTAGGGTTAGGTTAGGTTTAGGGTTAAGGTTAGGTATTAGGGTTAGGATTAGGGTTAAGGTAAGGTTTAGGGCTAAGGTTAGGTTTAAGGGTTAAGGTTAGGTTTAGGGCTAAGGTTAGGTTTAGGGCTAAGGTTAGGTTTAGGGTTCAAGGTTAGGTTAGGGCTAAGATTAGGGTTAAGGTTAGGTATTAGGGTTAAGGTTAGGTTTAGGGCTAGGATTAGGGTTAAGGTTAGGGTTAGGTTTAGGGCTAAGGTTAGGTTTAGGGCTAGGATTAGGGTTAAGGTTAGGGTTAGGTTTAAGGCTAAGGTTAGGTTTAGGGCTAGGATTAGGGTTAGGGTTAGGGTTAGGGTTAGGGTTAGGTTAGGGTTAGGGTTAGGGTTAGGGTTAGGTTAGGGTTAGGGTTAGGGTTAGGGTTAGGGTTAGGTTAGGGTTAGGGTTAGGGTTAGGGTTAGGTTAGGGGAACATACAATGACTTCCCCCATCAACGGTCATCAGACAGTTGTGGTTGGATAGGAAGATCAAGGGTAATGCACGGGCCACCGCTTGTTAAGCAATGCCATCGGGCCTTCCAGTCCCTCTGTCTGGGAGTGAATCTCCTTTTATTTATTTGTTTATTTGAAAATTGTTCCTAGTAGATGTAGTTATATTTAATTTTTCCAACCGCTCTGCAAGGCAAAGAACAAACAGGTGAAGAGAGGAGTGCACCACTAGACTGAGCAGGGCACCCTCAAGGCCTGGCTTGGCCTATGTTTTTCACCTATTCATTCTCCTTCCCACACAATAGCAAGTCAGAGAACGAACAGGTGTGATACAGTAGGTTAATCAATTTTAGGACACATCATCAGTAGTGTACCTCAGAGTTATCAGGTGTTTTGGCCTTTAAACCCTATATTTATTTGTTTATTTGAAAATTGTTCCTAGTAGATGCAGTTATATTTAATTTTTCCAACCGCACTGCAAGGCAAAGAACAAACAGGCGAAGAGAGGAGTGCACCACTAGACTGAGCAGGGCACCCTCAAGGCCTGGCTTGGCCTATGTTTTTCACCTATTCGCTCTCCTCCCCACAACAGCAAGTCAGAGAATGAACAGGTGTGATATAGTAGGTTAATCAATTTTAGGACACATCATCAGTAGTGTACCTCAGAGTCATCGGGTGTTTCGGCCTTTAAACGCTATACACCCTCATCCGAGGCGGCCAGCCATAGGTTGATCAAGCCCAGGCTTGTGTCCCATGTTCAATTCAATAATTTATTTTTAAGGTATTTTTATGTCTTATATAATATAAAAGCTAAATTAAATTTTGGGGTTGG